CCCAGAATGTCACTACTACTCAACAGACATTTATTACATGTGTTTTTATACTGTTCATTATTTGTTATATACATGGTATTACTCCACTTAACTTGGAAGCTCTTTATGGTGAGAAGCTTGTATTCTTTCTATACTCTACCTTGTCTAAACAGAACACATTCTCAATGCTTGTTGACAAAAATAATTCATGGGAAGGCAGCAAGATGACAGACTAGGCAGAAATGCTACATAGACCCTCTACAAGAAAGATCCAGAAAACCAAATGAAATAGATGCAGTTGATAGTCCTTGAACACTGAGCTTCAACTGAAGAGATATAGAAGTGAACTAAATGCCTATTAGAAGAGGAAACTGAACAAATGCAGCAATAAAAGGAGATAGATTGGTGTGCTAGCTAACCAGACATGCCATCTTAAATTTTTGTGAAAAGCTTTAGAGAAAACACAGACTTGGTGGTGCAGAAGCACATCAGTGATTCATGGAGAGAAAAAAAAAAAATGATTTTTTTCTTGTTTCCCACACTCTCCTGGTGATCAGCAGCATGACCAGCTCCCACCCACATATACCCCCAGGAAAATGCCCACTCAACCAGTAGTTGGAGCCTCATGGTGGTGAGCCACACAGTTGTGAGATCATCAAAATTAGTTGGGTACTATCTGCACCAACCCCAAGGCCTGGATTTAGGTAAGCCCTGATCAAATTTGCAGAGCTAGTCCTGGCCAGATTGAACTACAAGGAAAAGCAGCTGAACTGATGTGGGATTAAAAAAAATAAATAAAAAAGATATGTGCCTGCCTACCAGTGGCTTTGTGACACAGCGGCATATCACTTACTGGTGGAGAGAAAGGGGCATTTATTTTTTCTTGTACTCATTACCCTGGTAAATAGAGGTGAGGCCATCCCTCACCCATGTACAATCCCAGCAAATCTCTGGCTCTCCTGATGGTCAGAGCCACACGGTGGTGAGCTGCACAGTTGTGAGTCACGTCAAAGTAAGTTGGGAGCTATCTGCACTAACCTCAGCACCTAGATTCAAGTGAGACCTATTCCAGACCTTCAGAGCCAATTCTAGCCAGCTGTGGACTAGTGGGAACTCTCACCCCTGGCTGCCCTCTGCAACGGAAAGATACTGCTCCTCCAGCTGCTTTGGGGTCTACACTAACTACTTCCAGATTGGGTGACCAAGACAGACAACACCTACGCTTAAAGAAAGTCCATCTAGGGCTATTTTATCCCTTACCTACTTATCACATGAGCTTCTCGGTTGATGGGAAACCCCACAATTTTCTCCTCTCTGGGTTTGTCACTTGTCCTGATTTTTTCCTTTCATTGTTACTGTTTGACTATTCTTTCTTCCCCTTCTTTATCTCTTTACCTTTCCTTGTATTTTATTCTGTCTCTGCTTTCATTTGTTCTTATTTTCTGTTTCTCTTTCCCTTCCCACCCTCTCACCCCACCACTGCCTCCGCTTCTTCTTTTTTCTTTTGCTCTTGATTTTTCTTTACTAATCACTGGTCACTTTTTCTTCGACTCATGTTGCTGTTGTTGCTGCTGGCAAGTCAGTTCCAACTCAAAACAACTCCTGTATAGGGTTTGTGAGGAGCTGCTAGTGAGATTGAACAGCTGACCTTTCTGTTCAAATCAACCTTGCAGCTGTGCTACACCAGGACTTCATTTATTCATACCTCTCCCTAAATGTGTTTAGTGCTTTCTTTTTCTTTTCTCTCTTATTTTTATCTTCTGTAGTTTTTTTTTTTTTCTTTTTCCTCTCCCTCTTTTCTCTTTTTAGATATTGGTGGTTTTGTTTTGTTTTCCCTAGCTGTTACTTGTTGTTATGTTGGGGGCTTTTTCATTTAC